CACTAACAACAACAAATCACACGCTAATTCCGTTACACTTTCGCAAGATGCATCTAATACACAGAAGCGTCTTCCATACATAGTACAAAGGAAAGTCGAAATCCCGAAAACTACTGAACGGATTTTGACGAGATTTTCTCTAGTATTGTATAAATAAAAGATCATACTTTTGGAAGTCTAAAAAAAATCGGAAGAAAGCAATTTTTATTACGGTGATATTTGCATCGAAAGTAGACTTTCTCGGAAATTTTGTTAAAAATTTTGCAAACTTGTCGAATATCAAATTGCTTATAGGGTTGAAAATGTTTTTAACGCAGATGAAAGCAAGCTTTAAAGCCTTAACTAATGCGATAAGAAATTTAAGATTAGCCAACAACATCCAAAGAACATTGCAATTAAGTGAGAGCCCTTTTATCAGGTATAAAAACCCGATATTTCCACTTTCTTCTCCTAAAAATTCATATAGGTAAAATTGTGGCAAATGGCCCACGGTGTTTTAGGCTGAAATATTTATTGGCAATCTTAAAATGCGCAAAATTAAACCTTGAAAATTTGAAGGGCACCTTTCTGGTTACCTTTTCCCATACCCAAGGAGCGGGCCCTTTCAAACCGGACGATGAAATCCAAGGTGTTTAGAGATTATTTTGACCCGCTTAGGAGCCAAAAACGAGGTAACACTTTACTGGGTACCAGGCCATTGTGGAATCGAATGAAATGAGGACGCCGACGAGTTGGCACAAGAATAACGAGTTGACGATAACTGTCTTTTCGGGACCTGTGCCAATCTGGGGTGTCAGTTGGTCCTCTTTGAGAGTCATAACTACTGAGTGGCTAGACTCTGAACGCAGTAAGTACCAAAGGTATTTTGAGCACACTGCAGACATTCCTCTGCGACTTGCATCTAACTCTGCTTTGTTGGATGCTTAGTTAACCCTCTATACATTTCGAGCTCTTTTCACTTCGAGAGTCTATTGGTAATGTTGAAGAAGCATTGTATGTTTATCGAGACCTATCTATGTTTATAGGGTGCAGCTGCACCTCAAGAAAATGACGATTGAGTTGGCTCGAAATTTCTTAGCACTTTAGATAATTTCAAACCTTTAAAAACTAAAATAATATCCTTCTTCAAAATATCTTACCCTTTTTTGGCGAACTCCGTCCACATACGAGTTAAATTTTCAATAATCTCATTTTCGGGATCACTTTTCGTGAAAAGAGGCGTCATAACAGGTACTCGTAACAAATATAGCAATTCGTCGTGATGTACCGCACCTTTCAATTATAAATTGTACAATTTTTTTTTGTTTTTGTGTGATGTTTTACTTTGAATGCAACTATTTATCAATAGCTTACCATAAACTTCACCATTATACTGGAAATGACTATAACGTCCTTTGTAGGTGAATAGGTACGTATAGACGGGCGTAGCCCGTGACACCAAATCCAGGAAACGATGATATTCAAAGTTAATGATGCCATCAGAATACAGCTTCCCAAATGAGTCCAAAGATTCGGGAAACGTCAAGGTAGAATTTCCTAGGTATTTTGAGCGCAACGTCTGAGTTATATGTTTCGAACGCGCCGTGTCACGTTCGTACATAAGTGTAATTGGTGCATATTTTTCGAAATCTTCATTCAACCATTTCCTTGTAGTCTCATTTTTCAGGATATCTAAAGGGCAACCATACTTTATAAAATTCGAAATCTTATATGTAGAGGATGTTATGGATGTTCTTACAATAGGCACCACCGACGAATTCATACTCCGTTATACCGATTATAAGTGGTACTTTGTAGAGCCTTTCGCTTTGTATGGTCTTGTATGGATCCTCCACCAAAAAGCGCTCTTGTCCAAAATCATCTTCGATCACTGGCATCCAATTTAAGACAGGATTCCAATTGAAATCAAACATTTGAGCTGAGCTGTTCACAAAGTCCAACATTGGTTTCTATATAAATATTAATACACAATAAGATCAAGCATCGAATGCTATGAAGAACTAATCACTGTCTAAGCGAAGTACAACACTAACGGCAATATTGTCGTCCTACCTTCTTCAGACACTTCACCAACTCGGCTGCTGGCTCTTGGGGACAGTTTAATAAATCTGCTTGTCTATCACTCAGTCTTTTCTGTCGTTTCTCGTATCCGAACTGTCCCAGCGGTGAAGCACTCATCATTATGCCGCGATGGAATAATCCTTTCGACATAGGCGACATCATATGCAGACCAATACTAAAGCTACCCGCACTGTAGCCAAGCAATGTCACTGAGCTCGGATCGCCACCGAAATCACTAATATGATCGCGCACCCAACGTAAAGCTTCAACCTGATCTTTCAATCCCGCATTTCC